ATGGGCGTTGGACCTTGGAATTCAACTCGAGAATTAGTCTATTCAGGAAATGGTTCGGCAAATCCATCGTCGAAAGGGATTTCATGGTTTCCTGCTGGCTCTGGTTCGATCCATCCACCATCTCCTTGGTTGGGAAAGTACGAGTCGCCAAGGAGATGGAATCCAGCCATGCTATCTACGCGCGGTGATGGTAAAGGAATAGTCAATAGGCATCGAATCTAATAATACTTCCAATGTATCATGGCTACGTGCTTGATTCTTGAAGGATGGGTTCTTGGGTAAGTTTTCGGCTTAGTTGCTATAGCATCCTAAAATACTCCTATAGTATTTTAATCCTTATGTTTGGCTCTAGAACTCCTCTAGTATCTAGGTAAGTTTTAGACTTGCTGTAACACCATAGTCACTCCCAAGCACATGTTGGTCATGTATCGAATGAATATAGTTGATCAGACAATATTGATCCTAGACATGATTACATAACTACCCAGGTTTAACCGCAGTGTCCAACATCCAAATACTTTTATTTTGTTCTACTTATGACACGGATTCTGGTACTCGGGTATACTTGTATACTTTGTTATAAAATACTTATATTTTTGAAAGTATACTTTTAGTTTAGAGCACTTAGGCCCCTAAATGTTTATAGTTGTATACCATGTAAGGTTCGGTATACTTAGTTCACTATAAACAATAGCTCTGATACCAATCTGTCACACCCCGAAACCGATGGCGGAAACGTTCCGGGGCGGAGTGACGTCATGCGTAGTATCACACAATTGTATCATAGCAAGCATAGTAAACACAACCAAACATTGAATACATACATGAAAAAGGTTTACATTGTTTAATACATAGTTTTGTTCATATCAAAAGTAAAGACGTGACTCTAACGCTCCGTCTTCTCCGAACTCCTGGAAGTACCTGTCTACTAATTCCCTGAGAATACAAGCAATTTTGAGAGGATATCAGCATAAAGCTGGTGAGTTCATAAGCGTTTAGTTCTGGTGAACGAAATGTTTCTTTGATCCTTTGAAAAGTGTTTCCCAAGAAAATCCTATATTTTCTTATGAAAGAAGTTTGATTATCCATTAGTTATACGTTAAAACCCCTGTTTATGAAAGATTAAGTTATCCCAGGAAAATCCTACATTTTCCATAAAAGAAGTTTGTTATCGACTCTGAAATGAGGTGTACAAGTATCCACCATACTTGTATCGTTAGATGAAGTTTCCTTGAAAAACCCTGGTTACTCGCTGTGAGATGGATTAGCCTTATTACATAAAAAAACTAATAAAGAAGTAGTGAACTAGAACCTAAGGACATTACTAATGCCCTCTAGTAATCAAATCGGTTATTATTTTGAGATTAGTTCACTTGTTTCATTATTACATAAGTAAATTTTCGCTACCTAAGTTGTGAGTGCCATAACCGTACTTAGACTGGATAAGGCACGTAACGGGGCCAATATCTTTTATGTCTTTGTCACCCCTGAACCTAATGGTCCCGCTGTAGCTAGCAGCGAAGGTGCGGGATAGTTAGTCCCATATAGATCTATACACAATAGTCACGCTCTCGCTCCAAGAGATTCTGGTTATAAGTCGTAGTCCTCCACTCACAAATCCGAGGGAGTGTTACCAAGGACAAGTCTCAAACTTAGCCTAACAAATTTACAAGTAACAATATCGAAAATCCTGTTTATGATTTGCATGAATCCTTTATAAAATAATACATATTATAACATGACTCACAAGTTTCTTGCTTTAGATTTGAAAACTGTTTCTACGAGTTGATTTCTTAATCGATTAGTAAAACGGTTTTCTGAGTTAAAAGCATGATGAACATAAAATCATTCTATGCAAAATAAGATAAATTGAGCACAAGTTTCCTTGTACTTTTGCTTGTATTCCCCCCCCCCCCCCTGAAAACATGAAAAACTCGGAAAAAGCGTAGGGGTATGAACTCACCGTTTGACGTAGGATCTGGGTGTATGATCGGTTACGAATGTTGAGTGTCAATAGATGTTTCGTATGCAAGTGGATCCTATTAACATGTGATAACACATATGTGTGTTAGAATTAGGGTGTTTCATGGCTAAATATGATGGAAAACCACCCTAAAGACTTGGAAAGGCTTGTCGGGACCCTATATGATCAAACAAGGTAGGTGTACGGCCAAAAGGGTATGTGTGCGGCCAGGGTGTGCGGTCAGCAGGTGTGTGCGGTTGCACACAAGAGTGTCGTACAGAGGGTGTGTGCGGCCGTACACAGGAGTGTGCGATCGTACACTCCTCATTTGTGCCCGAAATGTCGATTTTTAGATGTTCTAGTTCTAATACCAAGTCCTACTAGTAAATGGAGGCCAAACTCTTCACTTTGGAGAGTCTTTAAGGTGTGTATGGCCACCTTATGAAGGTGTGCGACCGTACACCTTCAAAGGATGAAGAACACGAAGAACACTATGAATTTTAGGCATAGATTCAGGTGTCTTACCGATATAACAAGCTGAATGATGAAGTAGTTCATGTTTTTGAGGCCTTTAGAGTGTTCTTGGATGAAGTTTTTTTAGAGAGAGAAAGTAGAGAGAGGAAGTAAAGTGCAGCCAAATGAAAGGAGTGAGTGAAGGGGGCCACCTTATATATATAAGGGTGAGTGTGCGACTGGAGGGTGGGTGTGCGGCCGCACACCCGTGTGTGCGGCCGTACACACCTCTCATGAGTGTGTATGGCCCGATTTTGCTTCTAAACGACATGTTGAATCATTCCTAATCTCAACCTTGGTCATACTTAAGCTTAGAATCACTTAAACGAACCCTGAAACAGTGCCAGAAGTCAACGAAACATGTTTAACTTTTTTTGAATTGGCTAAATGTGCGGGACAGAAGTTCCGGGTTGTCACAGTCCATCACTTAAAATCCGTGTAGATTCAAAAAAAAATCGCGGTGTTAGATTCAAAATAAAAATCCAGGGTGAAGTGTAACATTGAAGGAGACGAAAACTTGAAATATTTCCATGGATTTATTAACAACAAGAACAGAAAAAATAGAATTAATGGACTGATGGTGAATGGGAGATGGACGACCAGGGTGTAGGAGGTCAAACACGAAACATACAATTTTTTCAAAAACAAATTTTCAGAGAAAAGGCATATCAGACCCAAATTCACAAGTATTTTAAGAAGTTAACCATGATGGAGACCATAAAACTTGAAGCACCATTCAGTTTTGAGGAAGTGAAAGCTGTGATATGGGCCTGTGGGAGTGAAAAGGCTCCTGGACCTGACGGGTTCACTTTTAAGTTTATCAAAACTTACTGGGACACCCTCAAAGATGATGTGATGAATTTTGTTCTACACTTTGACAAGTTTGGAACTCTTAAGAGAGGGTGCAACTCCTCTTTCATTACATTAGCCCCAAAGGTGAAAGACTCGATATCCCTAGCAGATTACCGGCCTATTAGCTTGATCGGTAGTATGTACAAAATAATTTCTAAGCTTCTGGCAAATAGGCTTATAACTGTCATTGGTGGGCTGATTGGAGATGCCCAATCAGCGTACATAGAGGGAAGAAGTATTCTAGATGACCCTCTTGTGATCAACGAACTATACTCGTGGGCAAGGAAAATTAAAAAGAGGGTTCTAATGTTCAAAGTCGATTTCGAGAAGGCGTTTGATTCTATAAACTCGGAGTATCTAGATTCTATTTTACGCAGATGGGGTTTGGTAGTAAATGGAGACAATGGATTCGTGGCTGCTTAAATTCTTCCTGGGCCTCGGTGATAGTCAACGGATCACCAACGGATGAATTCAAAATCTCAAAAGGTGTACGACAGGGTGATATACTCTCCCCATTTCTGTTCATCATAGCAATGGAGGGTTTGAATGTTGCTTTGGAGGCTGTGCGAGATAAAGGAATTTTTATAGGAATCCAAATTCCTAGCGGGCCTATATTAACACATCTTTTTTATGCAGATGATGCACTATTTGTGGGTGAATGGTCACGTAGTAATCTAAAAAATCTAGCCAGAATTCTGAATTGCTTCAACATTACTTCGGGCCTTATAGTCAACCTCAACAAATCAAGAGTTTTCCGAATTGGTGCTTCTAGTAGAGAAATAGGGAATTGGGCCAACATCTTTGGATGTGCAGCAAGTAGCTTCCCCTTCAGTTACCTTGGGGTTCCGGTTCGTGCAAACATGAACCTCACAAAAAATTGGACACCAATCCTTGATAAATTTGCATCTAAACTATCCTCATGGAAATCGAAGTCATTATCATTTGGAGGTAGGCTGACACTAATCTCTTCTGTCTTGGGGAATCTGCCTACATACTACTTCTCTCTGTTTAAGGCACCAATGGAGATAACGGAAGCACTAAAAAAATCAGGAGAAGATTTTTATGGGGAGGTGACGATAACAAAAGAAAAATCCATTGGGTTTCATGGAACAAAGTGATCTCCCCAAAAGTTGATGGTGGTTTGGGTGTTGGTTCAATTCGGTCCCTAAACATAGGTCTAATCGTGAAGTGGTGGTGGTGCCTAAAAACTGAGTGGGACTCATTGTGGGGTAGAACGATTAGGGGCATTCATAATCTCAATCATAAGCCTCACGACTATTTAGCAAACAGAAACATATGTGGTGTCTTGAACAATATAGCCTCTGTTAGGAAAGAGTTAAACAAGAATGGTCTTGAATTGGAGGATATCTTCAAATTGCACATTAAATCTGGCGAAAACTCACAGTTTTGGTTTGACAAATGGATAGGACCTCAGATCCTAAGTGTCAAATATTCGCATCTTTACGGTCTAGAAGATAGAAAACGGTGCTCAGTTTTTGATAGATTCTTGAATGGGGAATTTGTTGGCCATTGGAAAACTTAGGTGGTAGACCATGGGATTAATCAAAGCATAGCCAACTTACAAAATGAGATGTCTGCTGTCGTGTTATCACTAGGTGAAGATCAATAGAAATGTGTATTAGACAATAGTGATACATATTCGGTATGTGCCATGCGTAGGCGGATTGAACAACAGAGAAATTCTTATATTACTCTCCCCACTTTCAAATGGAATAAGACCTCTCCGATAAAAGTAAATTGCTTCATATGGCGTGCGATGCAAATGAGAATCCCATCGGCGGTGGCTTTAAGAGTACGTGGTGTAGGGTCCATTCCAGTTACATGTGTTGCTTGCATTGGTGGGGTGGAATGTGTTGATCATCTTTTACTGAATTGCCCTTACGCTTGTGAAACAAGGTCTAAAATTTTCAACTAGTGTGGAATGGGGTACGTGTCCTAAGTGGTGAAAAAGATTCAGAACAATTTGTCATAGCTTACTATGGAACCTCTCGAAATATAGGAATGATCGAATCTTCAATGGTGTCTTTAGAAATCCTACTAGGGGGGCGGAAGACATTAAATCGTTGGTGTATTTTTGGATAAAATGCAGGGGGAATGAGGTGATCTGTAAGTGGGAGGACTGGTCCTCCTCTCCATTCAGTGTCGCATAGAGCTATTTTTACTTCTGTTGGTTTTTTCTTGTTCTGTGTATGTTTTTTTGTTCCCTTCCTAGACTCTTGCTAGTTGGGTTTTTTTTAATAAAATTTGCTGTTAAAAAAAAGATACTATAATTTTGTTAGTTTTTTTAGAAATGGTAAAATTTTATAAAAATGGACCCCAGCTAGAAAGAAACTAGGGGAACACAAAAAAAAAAAAAAAGACGTAACGATAGTAGTTTCACGTAAAGCAAAGATACATTAGGTAGATAGATAACACTAGGTGAGATGGAAAGGAGAGAATGACCTATAATTTTGTTATTTAATTATATACATATATTAAAACTCATCGTGCCTTACAACAGTACACTATACCCGTTTCAGATTTTAACCACATTAATTTGTACCCATCGACTCTTTTCGTCCTTCTAGAATTCTAGATTTTCAACATCCGTTTTTCCCAATCGTATATTCCCACCGCCAACGGTTTTCATATGTTTCTCCATAATCTTTGAACTCCTTTCCTCCGCATTACCAAGATATTGCAACCAACCACTTTCTCACCACCGCCATCACCAATCGTCACTCACACCACCGCCGCCGCCGACCCATCTCCGGTGTGTCAATTGAAAACCCTTGTCGGCTTCCAATTTCCTGCTACGCAGCGCCGACAAATGTAGCTTTTTGGGCTTATATAACCCTCGATTTTTTGTTTCCCACATATTCAACCACATCGGAGAAGCATAATCGATGAAGACTTTCTGGTATCTGATTTTACGTTCATCTGACGCGGCGTCGTATGTGACTTTTGGTTTGATTTTGAAACCCCTCTCTATTTTCTAGCCCCCTTCATGTTTATATCGATTAATTTATCCTAATTATATCCACGTATGGTTGATTCTTTTGTTCACAAATACAAAGGATTAGAAGGTAGTATTGACGCTCATGTTTATTTAGTTTCGAATGAAATTTGAATGCATCATGATTTATTCGATTTGTATTTGCCGATCAATTCTATTAGTCAAATAATTGGGATTCATTCAATTTTGCGTTCATCATATCATGTAATCAAGTAAGCTTCTCATCTCTACATACCTTCTTAGTTTTCTCACTTCAGTTATGTTTTCTTACTATTAAACCAATTTATGTATCTATTTATAATGGTTTCAAAATTTGAAGTTATATAATGGTTTGGAGTTGATTTTTCCGGAAAGCACATACTTTTCCTGTTTTTATACTCGATGTGGTGTTTATCACAAACAGTCTCCATTTAATGGTAATATATTACCTTGTACAAATATAAATTAAATTTAAACTCGAGTCTTTAAACTATTTTAATTTTTTTTTCATTGAATTTGCTTTATTTTGTAATCAATCGTACCATGAGAAAACCAACTTATGCCTTTTGTTTTTTTATGAAGTTAAAAGATGGTGTTTTAAGTGTATGGAATCTATGCTTTCGATCAGCAAACATTTAGGATTTGGAATCCCTATTTTGTAGATGACTTTATAGAGGAATTTTTAATTTCGTTTGAATATGAACAAAAACAGGAACAAACTCAAATTGATGGTATATTACATCTATACCCTCCTACAAAGTGATTTTTAATACAACGAAACCAATTATGAAACAACTAATGTAATTCACATATCCATGATCGTAATTTTTTGTTTGCCTTTATTACCTATTTATTTTCCAGATTAGCTACTTATTGCTACCCCATTACCTATCTTCAGTGGTTTTCTAAACACTTGATAGGGCTTACACACACGAGCAGGTAAACTTTCAAATTATGTTGGTTTATAGGTGTAAATGTCGTTTGTACCTTTTTATAGCTTTTTGTTGTTCGCAATGTGCAGGTTGTGTGAATATGTTTATTCTTTCAATTTTGTTGTTTTATTGAAACATTTAAAAGAGAAAAAAAAAAAGTTTAAAGCTACCGATTGAAACAACAATAGTATTGAGGTAAAAGGCATGGCTAATAGTTCTACTCTTATGTTCTATTGTAAGTTTTGTTTGTGCATGTTTACTTATATTTTTTTAAATTTATTTGTATTTTGTAGGATCGAGTTGAGCCTGAATATACTCCACAATCTAAAAGGGGTATTAAGTCACATGCAATTCTTGTCCGACCTGTTAATGGAATTGTTATAGAACAGGTTCTTACTTCTACCCAATTATACACAAATAATTGCTTTAAAATCTACCCAATTATAACATTGTATTTTTATTTTTTCCCATTAGTGATGCACATTGCTTTGGAAAATCTCCCAAATTATAGCACTGGACTTTCAATTTTTAGTTTTTTTTTGTATTACAAACGCATTGGACTTTGGAAATCTATGATATTGTATTGGTGAAAATTCTTTTGTTTTTAGATGACATTGTCATAATTAGACATATTTATTCGAAGTACAATCCTTTAATAAGATTTGAAAGTAGGTTGCTATGATAAACAAATCAATATAACTATTTTCTCTTTCTTGCATTTAACATTTAAACCAATTTTAGCATTGTTGGAGATTTTTTAAAGAAACAAATTTTTTTGTTTTTAAAATTTTATTTTTATATTAACATACCTTTACAATTTCATGTTTACAGGATAATCAAGTTGAGCCTCAGGCAATTGGCGAGGTTGAGTTGAGAAGCCAACAACTAATAAGCTTTTGCTTTAAAAAAAGCAATATGTAATTTATAGAACCTTTTATTAGCATAAAAATGTTAACATGAATTTAATTTTCTAGGAAGCACAGGTTGGGGAATCTCATCTATTTTTGATAGGTTGGTCCTTCGATTCAATTTAATTTTGTGGTTTTGGTTTCAAAAAGAGTTGCGTTGCAATTTTACTCAATATTTTAAACCTTATTAAAAATTTTTGAACCCTGTTAAAACAAATAAAACGAATGTGTTTGGGGTGTGGGTTATGTAGTCATTAGGACCAAAAGTGTTAAGAAACTTCAAAAGAACTAAACTGTCAACACAAAACTTAAACTTATAGATAACAAAAAAGAAAAACTCTATACAAAATAAAACAAACGCCATCCAGTACCTTTGTCCCATGCGTAGCATCTCACCTACTAGTTAATATTAAATGGCATATGTCGCATTTATTAAATTATTGTATTATCATAATCTTATTTTATGATTCTTTTACCAAATAGATATTTCTCAAAAACATATTTAAATATAACTTTATACTTATTTATCAAAATGATTTATATAGCAATTTAATAAAAAAATGTCTACTTATTCTATATTCTTTTTTCCTTAAGATTTATATAATCTCAATCTATTTTCACTATAACTCACGCTAGTTATTGATTATTCTTTTAATATATATATTTTTTTATTTTTTTACTATGTACTATTAATCATTATCAATTTATTTTTTCGAAACTAACCACTCGACTATAGTCCTCAGATTGAACTTTTGAAGTTCGTATAAAAGTTTGGGTAAAGCAGAATAAGAATCATCCTAATTCTCAAACATATATTCAATTGCCTTATGTTTTCTAGTCAAAACCTTTTTCTATGAAGGAATATAGCCATATTTATCAACTACTTCGGCTCTTAAAACAGTAATACTAATTGAAAGTTGATCTTTTAATAAAAAGTTCGCTTTCCTCGACTATTAAGCTTTCATATAGGTTTGGATGATCTTGAGAAATAGTGTTGTGTAAACAAGTATGTGCACTGTGTACTTCGTAATTTCATAATATCACTGCGTTTTTGTTTGATTGCACAAAGTTACCATTTGCAACCAGATTGTAAATGTAACATGCATCTTATGGTCCGTAGAGTTGGACATGTTTCAACAACCTCAACCTGTTTCTGTAGCCTAATTTTGTAAAAGTTATTAACTTTAATAAGTTCTTCTTTATTCCACAAAAAATCTTTTCCCAACTCTTGTGTAAAATCATTCTTGCTCACTAATTGTGACACAATCGAATTGCCATCACTAGTCATATTTGTTTTCACCCTACTAGTAAAAGTTGAAGGAACTCGAAAGTTATTGTCAAAAATTTATTCATCATCATCTTCTCCAATTCCATCTTCTTCTAACACCATTTGTAACAACTTCATTATCACTTGTTATTGCATTTCTTGCAACAACTTAAGAGATTTTATAGAAATCCTCATTTTGAAACAATGTCTCATATGACGTTAGCATCCATTTACAATTAAATAGATAAAATTAGAAAAACAAAAATTGACTATCAAACAAACAATTAAACAACATCAGAACAACCAATAGAAATGAGAAATTGAATTTTCAAATAGAAATCAGAAATTGAACTCACAGATAGAAATAGATACTTTACTTGTTATAATCCGCACATCTTGCATATTAAAGAAAATAGAAATCAGAAATTGAACTCACAAATGTAGATAAAAAGTTCAAAAATATAATCTAATCAAATAAGAACCGGCAAGATTATTTTAGTAAACAAAAAGGTTTTGCAATTGGTACTCTACGTATTATAATCTGCACATTTTGCTTGCTCTACCGCCAGGGGAATCCAACAGTTTTCTCGAAAGTTAGGGTTCATAGTTTTGATCATTTCTTACTGGTGGAAGGGGTTTGGAGCTTTTCGCGTTTGCATTGTTACATGATAAATGTGTATGCCCCACAAGATGTTAACCAAAAGAGGCAAGTTTGGAATGATATTTTTCTTTTTATGAATAATAATCTAGGGTCATATATGGTTTTTGGAGATTTTAATGTCGTTCGTAAGCCTAATGAGAGTTTGGGTACAGTTTTTTTGTCAAACTAAGCGAATGATTTTAATCACTTTATATGTAATTTTGGTTTGTTTGATCTTGGTAGTTATTCTTTTCACGAGAATGAGTAAAAGGGGGATAATTGAGCAAACTTGTTCTTTTTCGTATATCAGATGATATTCTTGAAACCTTTCCAAATCTTGTCTCTGAAGTTGTTTGTACTCTTGTATCGGATCATCAACCGTATATTTTGAAGAGTTAATAGATTTGAATATGGTCTGTTACCGTTCAAGTTTTTTTAATTCTTGGATGGAACTTGAAGGTTTTTATAATATGGTAATGAAGGCTTGGAATATTGGTCAGGAGGTTACCTCTAAAACCAAGCAGGTGAGTTTTAAATATAAATTAAAGATGTTAAAGAAATATATTCAATGTTGGTATGTAGTAGTGAAACTTACATGAACGGGACTCAATTGGAAAACATAAAAAAACTTGAAGAATTGGATTAATTTTTTTTTAAACGGCAAATCTAACCTACTCCTAAACTACTCCTTAAAACAACCTATGTCCACGACGGGACTTGAACCCTCAACCTCAAGGAAGGAGGGCAACACCGGATATCGACATATCGTTGGGCTAGAAGCCCTTTTGAATTGGATTAATTAATGGATACATGAGCAGCAACTATTAATGAAATAAATGACAGGTTGTTGTTAGCTAAGTGTATCAAGGATTATAATTAAATTGAGTTAACGGATTTGATGCAAGACTAGATATCGTTGACGAAGTGATGGAGATGAGAACACCAAATTTTATGACTCGGTGATTTATAGAAAAGGGTGGAAGCTTGCAATTCGTCGACTTAAATAAGTCGGTGAATGGGTGACCGAACCTCAAAAGGCGAAGCAAGTTTTTTTTCGATTTTTTATAGAATAAATTTACTCACCTTCAAGGTTCAAGAATTTTCAGTCGTAGTAATTATTTTAAAATAATGTCGACGGACCAAGCAACGACCTTGGTTAAAAACGTTTTTAGTTTAAAGAGGTAGTGTGGCCATGTAGTAATGATAAAACGTGTGACCTAGATGGTTTTAATTTCTAGTTTATCAAAAGGTATGGCCTATGTTTGAATCAGATGTGATAGTGTGGCACCCCAACTCGCGACGGAAATGGCAGGCGGTGAGATGACATCATGGATCACAATAATAGACATACATTGAACATACAAAAATACAATAGTAAATAAATAATTTTATTTATTGAGAATAGTAAATTAAAATATCCCCTAATCTACGGTATAGGAAATTGAAAGGTACAAAACAAGCCTTAACATTAGGCAACCAATGAAATACTGAAATACAAAAGATGGCTATAATTCCATGATCATTCTTGTAGTATATCCTCCAACGGTCTAATTCCCTAAGAATACATAAGTTTGAAGAGGTGTCAATTGAAAAATTGGTGAGTTTACAGGTTTGTAAAAATAGAACCAAAATATACTTTCTTACTAAAGTATAGTTATATTAGAGTTGATAAGTACTTTTCGAGACTGAAAATTTTTATATATATATATATATATATATATATATAAAAGGTATCTTTATTATCCTAACTTTTCATAATTAAGTTCCTAATAAAAAGATATTCCTTATATGTCTATAGGTATTTCAACTTTCCTATACATATTTTATATTCACTATGAGGTCCTATAAGCGAGTATTTAAGAATGATAGGCCTTTCCCGACGCTTCATCACCTCGTTAAAATAATAAAAAGACAATTATCACCCAGTGTGACTCGGTCGTCAAGGTTGTAACAAGCAACCATAGGTGGGGGTGTCAATCCGAAAATATCTATACATAATTCTTCCGCTCCTTAAGAATTAACTATTATAAGCTAGATGTATTTCTAAGTATAGGGATACTTAGTTTGATGAAAAAAGCTCACATGAATTTGAAACATATTAATAACCCTAACTTTATTAACAAGTTTTCAGGTATAATTTCCATAGTAATACACAATACTATAATCATTCCTTCATTTGAGGTTCCACAATATTACTATTGTATTTGGTATTGAGAAAGAGTTGTTACAATACTATTCTACTATATCCATTGTTTAAACAAAGTTTTGATATAGTTTCAATAACATTTGTATACATCAAATAAAAATAGTACAATGTATTTCATCTTCCCCCACCCCCCCCCCCCCCAAAAAAAAAACGATAGAAGATTTAAAATGGGGTTGTGATACTTACTTGGTTGTAGCGTATGCGAGAAACCGAAGATATTTGGATTTTCTGGAAAACAGTAGTTTGTAGCCCGATGAATAGTAATTTTGATCGGCGTGAATAGTAGTTGATCAAAATCTGGCCGGAAAATAACTTCACCGACTGCGTTTGGCGGCGATCAGCAGTAGTCGCTTTGATAGGTTCGTTGAATGTGTCCGATCGGTAGGTGAGGGCTAGTTGGAGCTACGTTGTTTGTTGGATCGGATGAACCAGGAGGCAGACGACCGTTCCGATGGTTCTCGGATCTTCAACTCTGTGGAGGTAGGCGGCGTACGGTGGTTGTCGATGACTTCGATGGTGGTCAAGGGTGGCAAAGAGAGGCCCGACTGTCCGACGAGTTAGCGAGAAAGTGGAGAGACATGAGTGGTGAAAATTTGGGGACCCCCTTTTACATAGTAATCCAACACTCAATCCAAGGGTCAAGAACAAAATCCATCTGACGGTTGAGAATATGCCTAGATATTTTGATCATATCTAGCCAGGCGACACACGTTTCTTGAAAAATAGGTGACAACGTTTTTGTTAATAAAATCTAATACTAGACGTTACCCTGATCGAAACGGCTCAATTTCTGGTTGTTAAGAAATAGCACAGTTATCCTAATGAAGCGTTTGAAAGTTATTTTCGGGTGATAACTATTTATATTTGCGAAAATTCACTTCGCAAAATAATCGATATGACATATAATGGAAAAGTTAGCTCCTAAATAAAATACTACATTGAAACCTGATTTGTGATATATAACTAACTTTTTGTAACGAAACTTGGAAATGACCATACAGATCAT